GAGAGGAGAGGAGAGAGAGAGAGAGAGAGAGAGAGAGAGAGAGAGAGAGAGAGAGAGAGAGAGAGAACAAAGAGGTTAGGCTCAGCAGGTGAAGGGAGATGCTTGCAGCCCAAGCTGATGACCTGAGTTTGACCTCCATGACCCACATTGTAGAAGGAGAGAACTGATTTGGACAAATTACCTCTGACCTCTACATTTTCCCCCATGGCACACGCTCACTCATGTGCACACACAGAGAAGGAGAGAAAGGCAACACACATTTCTAGAATCATCTTCTATTCAGTGAAGGATGGGTGTCATAGGAAGACTTACCTACAATTTCATTAGGAAAAACAAGTCACTTGATCCTGTTCTAACAATCTTGATATGTGGTACCTGACCATCAAACCTCAGAATTCTATCTCTGTGGGAAGTCCAGAAGGAACCGCAAAACAAACCTCAAAATAGATTCCCTGAGAAAATACCCTATCTAAAATAATTCCCTTCCTGTGTGAGCTCCTTTCCACACAGTCCCATGTTTTACTGTCGCCTCCTCTCTGAAGACTGTGTCCCACCCCACCCCCATCCCCTCACACACACACTTTTTTTTTTGGATAGCATTATGCCATAAAGTTCAGGCTGGTTTCAAACTCCCGTGTGCTGGGAATACAAACGTACATCATCAGGCAGGGATTAAAATGAACTTTTAATTGAAAACGTTTATTTTTTGCAGTACCAGGTTTTAAACCCAGGGCTTACACATGCCAGGCAAGCACTCTACTACTGAACTACATCCCGGGCTGCTGTCTCCTTTCAGCTCCTTTTTATAGGTCTATGGTTATGTTCAAGGGCAGATACAGATGATGAGATACCTTTCCGAGATTCCTATTAAATTTAAATTGTCTGTAACCTAAGAGTTAGTGACGATGTGGCCACTAGAGCTGGAGAGGTGGCTTAGCATGAAGAGCGCTTATTGGACTTAAGAGGACCTAAGTTCAGTTCCTAGCATGGTCACAACCACCTGCAACTCCAACTCCAGGGGATCCAACGCCCTCTTCTGGATTCCGTAGGCACTGCACTTACGTGTACATACCTTCCCCATGTGGTTTAAAAATAATAAAAATAACTTTTTAAATTTTAAAATAAAGTAAAATATAGCCATTTTAAACGCTCACATTCTCTGATCACTTAGTTAGCATAAAATCCCACTTAAACTAAATCTTAATTCATTCAAAGGCCAATGGGTTTTGCATTTCTGACAGAACCTTACATTGTTTTTTTTTTTTTTTTTTTTTTTTTTCTTCTTCTTCTCCAGACAAGCGAGCAAGAGACCTTGAGACTGGCTTTTCTTCCCGCTCCTTTGTGTAGCGCTCACCCAGGAGGTCAGGCAGTAACCAATGCCAAAGAAACATCAAAATAGAAAGTGCTAGCGTGTGCGGTCATGCAGCCGTTCAGGCTGCCTGAAGATTAGGAAACTGTTCAAACATCAGATCGCCGGCAGGCGTCTCAGCCCGGGCCTGTGCAAGGAGCACGCTGGGAGCGCTTTGGTGTCCTAGCTGAGGGCGAGATTAGGAACCAGGAAAGCCACCCGCGCGCGCGGCAGCGGGTGCAAGGTTGGCTGAAAGGCCCCTCCAGCTGCGATCGCGTGTGCCCCCGTGGTGGGACCTGCGCACTAGGCCCTAGGTACCGGCAGGACACGTGCTCCGGGCCCCCCACCCTCCTCCCCGGGTCCTCTCGTGTCCAACCGCAACCACGGAATCCTCTTCAGAGTTCTGGAGAGACGCTCGCGCCGGGAAGGGGCTTTACTAATTGCAGGAAGTGAGCACGAGGAAGAAGTGGCAGAGATCAAGGGGAGGAGGGAAGGGAGGAGGAGCAGCAGCAGCAGCAGCAGGGCAGCCCGAAGAGCCCTAGAGTCGCGCATTGCCACGCAGGAGATTGGGTCCCGGCGGTCCTGCTGTTCTTTGGGGTCCCAGAGGCTGCCCAGCCCCGCTCGGACATTCGTCTGTCCCCTCCCGGTCTTCATGGCTTCTCCGGATGACCCTCTGCGCTCAGGTAAAGTGGCACCATGCCGCGCCCGCACTTGGAGCGTGACCACCAGCTGGGTTCGTGAGATTGAACCCCAGTCACCCCTGAGAGCGCTTCAGGACACCAGGGCCTGCGCCAGATGTGTACCAGGCTGGATGAGGACAGTGGTGGCACACTGCCCTACCTCTCCCATTCTTACCCCTGTGCTTCCCCTCTGTGAGCAGCAGCTGACCTGCTCGCCTCCTGCACACGGAGGCAAGGTGTGCGTGGTTCCTCTCCCCACGCGGAGGCCCAGACGAGCGCTTTTGTTCTGGGCCACGCGGGTGCCAGGTTGAAACAAGTCCGCAACCCTTTGGCAGAGAAGAACACAGAAGGAGTCTGTACCCCATCCCAGGCTCTCCCTTGCTCCCCATTCACACGCCTCTCCCTCCTGGCTCCACTTGGCTGAGATGGTTTTGCTTCTGTTTAAGTCTTACCTTCCGAGCTGTAGTATAAACTATTATACTATCCCCAGAACCGCGAAGCTGAGCTCACCTTCGCAGACGCCACCTGTGGAGGCCTCCAGTCCCGTTAGTACATAAAAACGCTGTGCTTTCATACCCGAGGCTAGCAGACTAGCTCGATTTTTCTATCGCTTCTCCCTGCATGCATTTAAGTAAAATTCTCCTTAAACTTCATCTTCCAGGGATTTCCCCCTGTCCTCCTGCAACCTAGCTTAACATTTCATCGGTGTTTGTGGGACACGCCTGACGAATGGATGGTCTCTGGTTTTGTTGAGATTGGAAGCTCTGGTGAGAGCCACCCAGAACCAGACCGGTCGGTCGGGATTGCTGGGCTAGATGTGACTGCTTGTGCTTCATATTTCATTTCTTGAGCCGGTGCAGGGACAGAGTTCAGCTGTTCAGCCCCGATTAACGGCTTGGCCTCACTGGGGAGATACCTTATGTCTGGCAGTGGCCCGAAGATTAAGCCCAATGGCCACGTGGACACCTTGAAGGGCTGATTTGGGGAGGGGGCTGTTTACTGGTGACATCGAAGAAAGAACCAAATTATTCAAGTGTGGCATGGTCAGCAGGCTATCAGTTGAAACGAATTGGCCATCCCTCCCATTGTTTGCAAGAACAGAATGGGAAATAAAGAGAACAATTCTCTCATCCTGGTCCTGCTCCCAACACTACCCTTCCTGTGCTGAGAACCTTATTGATAAGGTGCCAAGGGGTGTTTGGGGCTAATTTTAGTCATAATGGTCCCAGACTTATTAAATGATACTGGCGGGGGGATTTCAAAGATGGAGAGAGGGAATTCACTGGGTGAGGAGGATACAGGTAACATTTGCCCGAGCTGCACCCCAGCATCTCTGGCTCCGGAGAAAGTGTGGGGAGGGGGTGGTAGAAACCAGTTCAGCAGTGACATCAGTGTAACAAGCCTTGGGGAGGGCCGACAGGACAGTTCAGGTAGCAAAGTGCCTGCCAAGCAATGAGGACTTGCGTCTTGATCATTCCTGGCACCCATATTAAAACTCAGCCATGGTGTCGCCCACCTGTAACCCCAGTGCAGGGAGGACTGTTTGAGACAGACAGACAGATTCCAGGAGCTCACTGACCGGCCATCCGAGGCAAACGGATGTGTTCCAGGTTCAGTGAGAGACTCTGTCTCAAAATGTGGAGAGAGGCGAGGGCAACGGCTGTGTGGGTAAAGAGAGAGAGCTTGATGCTCAAGTGTGTGAACCTGAATTCTAATCTGAGTTTGAATTCTCAGCACTCACCTAAAAAACCTAGCCATGGCGCCCATGCTTGTAACCCCAGGGCTGTGGAGAGTGGGGTGGAGACAGGAAGGTCTCTGAAACTTGTTGGCCACCGGCTGAGCTCAGAGAGAGGCCCTGTCTCAAGTGGGTAGAGAATGATAGAGCAGGGTGCCTGACATCCTCCTCTGGCCTACATGTGTACACAGCTGTGTATGCCTGCACACAATGTGTGTATACATCACACACACACACACACACACACACACACACACGACAGAGAGCAGTTAATGAAATTGACTTCTAGTCTGTACACACAAAGGAGCATGAGCATCTGCACATGTGCACGCACCCACATGAACATGTACATATACCCCCCCCCCCCCGTACACACACAAAGCCTTGTGTATGTGGGGGTAGATAGATGATCTTAGGAGACAGTTACAGTATTATAGGATGAGAGTTGCCGCTATGGTCTTCATTAGCTTGGCCCATACTGAATGGATGCCCAAAACTTGCAGGAAAGGGACCATCAAATCTCTGGATGTGTGGAGTAGTGTGAACAGAGGGTGACCTGTAGCCAGTGTGTCTCTCACTTCACGAGGTGGAATCCAAACCTCCAGGTGAACTCTTCAGGGAGAGCTGGACTGGGGCTCCCCACAAAGGGGAAGGGGGCCTCCTTCGGGGGGCCCTTTGGCAGGGAATGGTGAAGGACAGATTCAGGCCCGGGAGATATTAAGAATATCCTGTCCCATTCCTGGGAATCTATCCATCAAGGAGGTTCCTCCATGTAATACATGTCTCGACACATGAGCGCTTCCACCCAGACACCCCACCTGGCTCTTGCACTTCTGAAGTGCAAACACGGGTGGTGCCCATGTGCACAACTGAAAGTTCCAGCTCTCCAACCTCAGACCACGCTCTTTCTCCTGGCGTTGTGCACCCACCTCCCCACCGGAGTTTCCACACCGATGCATGCATGCCTCCTGCCAACGGTCCTCCAAAAGGCGGACAGAGTGAATTCTTGATCAGGCATATCTGTGACCATCCTGTTGGACTCCCTTCTGGACAAATTCCAGACCCTGGAAGGTTCCTCTGTGCCATCCATCCTGACATCCCTTACCCAGCCTTTCAGTACTGTTGGTCACTTGCTTTTGGCGCGACAGTCACACTGCTTCCCTTCCATCCTCTGAGAAGCTCTGTATTCGGTGCCTCCTGGCCTCTGACTCCCAGGGATTCCTCCTCCTGGAAATCTCCCTGCACACCCTTCCTCCCCTACCCCATGCCTCCTGTTTCTCTAGGCCCAGCCCCCGCCCAGCCCGAGAGCACCCTCTCGGCTCTTCTGGAACCTTCCTTCCACTGTTTCTAGATTCCATTGGGCGGGTGTCACTCTCTCCCCTGGGAAGTGAGCTCCAGCTAGAACCCGCCTGCCTTGCCCGTAGCTCTCCCCTAAGTCCCACCACAGTACCCAGTACACACGAAGCCCCGGGTAGACACGTTTTACTTCAGCGAGTGGAGAAATGAGTGGAGGAATGGATGACACAGAAGTTAATGAAACTGTTTCAAACTGTGAGGGGAAAAAAAAAGTTTTTCCTGTATTGCTTCCTGAGGAATTCATTCACCAAGTGACACATGTCAACTAAGTTCACCTTGCAAAGTGAGAGAAGAAAAAAGACCTGTTCCCTCACACACATGATTAAGATATAGCTCAGTGGTAGAGTGCTCTGACCTGCTATGCATGGGGCCCTAGGTCCAATTCTTAGTCTCCCTCTCCCTCTCCCTCCCCACCCCCCCCTTCTCTCTCACACACACAGGAGGGGACATATCATTATGCTGTATTGTGAAGTTAACTAAATTTTTTTTGGACTTACTGATTTTATTCTATGTGTATGAATGATATGAATGATTTGCCTGCATGTATGTATGTGCCTGTAACTGAAAGACCCCCGGCTGAGATCTTTCTCCGGGAGAGACCCCAAACCCAAGGAACACACCGAAACCACAGATCAGATGCAAAAGCAAGAGGGTTTATTTAGACCAGGTACCTGGGGCGAAGTCTCTTGGAGGATTTGCGCGCCTTCCTAGGGCAAGGGGGACTTTTTATGGGATCCCAGGGGCAGAGGCGCGGTTACAGAAGCGAGAAGCATAGTTACAGGGTCCCTATTGGTTGTTTCAAAGAAGGCCAGGGTGAACTTGGGGTCATATGTGTGTGGCTGATTTGGCCTTGTCCAGGCCAGCTGCTTATTCCTCAAGGCCAGGGGCCCGCCATAAAATATCAACTGTCTTACTCCCAAGGCTGCTGACCACAGTTATCTCTCTCAAGGCTGGCCATAGCTATCTCTGTCAAGGCCGGGTAGCTGGCTATGGCTGTGAACTCCTGTTTTTCTGATTCCTGCAGAATGGCGTTTCTAAGGCCAAGTTATTGGGGGGGGCATAACATCGGCCCAACGCCCCATATCCTCATAATGGAGCGGGGGTCTTTCATAACCTGTGGAGATCAGAAGAAAGTATCAGGTCCCTTGGAACTGAAGTTACGGATAATTGTGAGCCACCATGTGGATGGTAGGAATTAAACCTGGGTCCGCTGGAAAAGCAACATGTCCCTAACCACTGAGCCATCTCCCCAGGCCATGAAGTTAATTTTTAAAATGGAGTTTTATGTATATGAACATGGGTGTTTTACCTCCGTTATAGGCACCACTTGTGTGCTTGGTGCACTCAGAGGCCAGAAGAAGACGTTGGATCCTCTGGAACTGGAGTTTCAGACGGTTGTGAGCAGCCATGTGGGTGCTGAGAATTGAACTCAGGTCCTTTGGAAGAGCAGCTGATGCTCCTAACCATTGAAGCATCTCTCCAGTCCCCATGGAGTTAATTAAAAAAAAAAACAAAAACAAAAACAACTTGGACATTAAGAAACTTCTCAAGACGCTGGAGGTCCCCTGGAAAGACAATAGCAGTGATGGGGTGGGAGGTAGCTGTCCTTCGCAGCCTCCCTCACTGATCTACCAGTGTCTGTCTACTACTGTCTGTCAGATGTCACTAAATTCTGGCTATTCACGTTTATTTGGATATTAAGGCCTAACAAAGAATGACCAAGTGAGGAGGTGGGATGCCTTATTACCTAAGCACCATAGTGGTACCATAGTCATGTGGCCGTCCCCTGTTTCAAGGTCCCATTTTCTCTGCCTAACTTGGGTGTTCTGTGGAAGCCCTTGTCCAGGTCCAGCCCATCAGCCTGGGACTGCGCTTTTGGGGGTGTCTTACCTGTTCTCAGCCCTCCCTCACC